TCCAGCAGCGCTTCCTGCGTCCGGCGACGTCAACGATTAGAGAATTATAAATATCGATCTAGCGTTTGCCAGCGTCTGCTAGCATCCGACAGCGACCAGCAGCGTCTTGAAGTGTAGGGAAGGACCTCACTCCCATCTCTCTTCCATCTGTTTTTTTCGACCTACCCGACTTTTTGCTGACTCGTCCTTTGCTACTTCTTTTTTGGAGCGCGATGATGGTCCAGCAGATTTCATATCTTGTTTACCTCTCTGTTAAAAGTAACCATGAATTGGGTTGAATGTCAAAGTGGTGAACGTAATGGTCGGTAACGTGGGCGGGAGAAAAACTGGGCACTTGGCAACTGGTAATCTGTGCCTCTTCTGAGGATGAACCGGTGAAAAAGAGGGGATCACTGTTGCGACAAAATGCGCAGAAAAACAGCCTCATTCAGCGGCGTGCCTATCCTCCCTCCACCTACGTTAGTACCATTAAGATAGCTAACCAGTACAAGTACGGAACGCCACCTTTCTGATCCGAGGTGTTGATCTTGTTTGAGTTTCTGCTAGTTCTTGAAGAGCCTTGGTAAGTTTTGCGCGGCCCTGAATGAAAACACACATTTTTACGTATCAGGCGCGTGCTGAAGAAGCATCAGGATCACGCGATAAGAAAAGCGCTGGACTCCGAAAACAAGACAGCGGTTACGAGGAATCGCAAAGAAAGAAGGCTCTACATTGAAGTCAGGATTATGGTAGACGGTTTCTTTGAGAGAAAGAGGAAAGTTGTCTGCCAAAAGCAGGGGTTCTCTCGCGTGGGCACTAGAGGTAGAAGAAGTACAACGGCAAATGAGGTGTCCAAGCAGGTGATCTGTGGTGGTCCACTGCTGGCAAAGAACACACTAGAAGCTGCATAACGAGGGAACGTGTACGCCCCCCTCGCTGTCCATATCCCCACTCTTATAGGGTAATTCGCTGCGGACGGTGGGGCAGGGCACATCATTGGTTGGGGATTTTAGTCGAGTCTGTACGACCCCCCCCTTTTTTTGGGAGTTGGTACGACCCCCCCCCCAGCCCTCTGTCCTTCCTCATCGAATCGAGCCGTCGAGCGGGGAGGGGGGGGGAGGGCATATAGTACGCATGAAACAGGAAAATCACGAAAAGTCAACCACCACTCCCACCACTCCTAGAAAGGCCAGAAAGTAAATACGACCCCCCCCCCCTCCCAACAATGAGCAAGTACGACCCCCCCCCTTTTTTTTGGGAGTTGGTACGACCCCCCCTCCCAGCCCTCTGTCCTTCCTCATCGAACCGAGCCGTCGAGCGGGGAGGGGGGGGGGGGAGGGAATAGCACATCGTCCAGAAAGGCCGAGAAAGTCAACTTATCAAACATAAAATTCTTCCCCAACCCAAATACGACCCACGCTTGTTGGCGGATTTTCCCAAACAACGCATGTTCCCTGCCAGTGGGGCGTGTCAGGCGAGATGAGTTTGCGCAGGTGCAACCCGTCCTACACAAAGCTGTTTAAAGCCGAGAACGTGACACACGAGTATTCATGTCGTTCGTATCACTCGTTTCCACTTCTGTCGCGTAACTGCTTCAACAATGGCACGCCGACACCGAGCTTCTTCACACCCATACTGCCCATACATCAACGTCTGCAGCGAACTTTCACTTAACCTACCATCTCACTTGCCACTTTTCAGAGTGCTTCTTCAGTTTCCCCACCCCACCTCCGAAAAACTGCCATCGGGAAGGAGGGAGGGAGCTGAAAAAGGTGGGGAAGGGTTATGGGGATACACAGGTATACAGGCCTTCGAAATAGGAAGTACCGAGCAAAAGTCAAACAACTCGAGCATTCCCTTCAGGCCAAGTACGACATCTTCTCCTTCCACAGCCTACCGAAATAAGACCTCGCTGACGGGTTCTGATGGGTCCTCAAAACGACGTCGTACAGTACGTGCGTATTAGGACCACTCGAAGCCTGCTCTGGAAATTTAAACGCCAGCGCCCACGTTCATTTGATGTTCCCGCGCCCTTTCTGGATATCATAGCCCTCCCTATGAGGATGCATGTACTAGTTTTGCATCTCAAAAAGGCGAGAGGATAGCGCCGTTTGCTAGTGAAGAGTCGGCCGCCCCGCCCACCTGGCCAGCATGGGGTTCTATATAGGGCATTTTCATGATTTTTTTTCACTCCTGGATCACGTAATATAAGAAACTTCTTAACTTCATTTCTTGAAAGCGGGCTCAGCCTTTAAAGGCTAGGGCAAAGCAGTCAAGGCAGCCAGGTGGGCGGGGCGGCATCCTCTTCACAAGCGGGTTGCGCCATCCTCTCGTATTTTTGAGCTGCGAAATTAGTACATCCTCCACCCTTGTCAAAAGCTACGATCTCTAGAGGGCGTAATTAACATCAGTGAATGCGGACGCTACGCCTTCAATATTCTCCTCCCATGTAGCTGGTCACTGTCCTTTTTCCGTTCCTGCACTGTAAGCTATTTGCTTCAGAGATGTTCAGAATTATAGCATTCGCTCAGTCGCCCTGATTCGCAGCAGGCACTTAGGTACCGTTCACTCTGACAGCCAAATCGAACGGACTTTATAAATTCAAATCTATCGACATGTCGCTCGCAGCATGCAACATACGACCCCCTTCCCATAGGGACATTTGTGGAACAAGAGCAGTTAGCGCGATTCTGCTACGCCCAGGGTTCACCTATCCTAGATCGAATCCCATTCCGCCCTCAAAGACGTTTGTTCTACTAGGGTTTTCTTGAAATCAATTCGTCTGCGACAACGAAGACATTGAACTGTGCATTCCATGTCCCTGAAATGGGGATAGGGAGGGGCGTGGGTGGAGAGACGAACAAGACAATCGTAATTTGTCGCGTCACGTGGCTTGTCGTGCGGCGGTCCGCGGCCCCAATCCCAGTGCATCATGGCTCTCTGGAGCAGCAATACTGTATGAATTCAAGCGGAGACAAGAGTCCATGATAGGCGATATCGATTTCTTGTCGTTCCTTTGATAATCAGATTCGAAAGACCGGGCGGGAAAACTCGTCCGTCAGACGCGGCGTCACTTACCACGCCCACCAGTGCGGCATATTACGATTGTCTTGTCACATACTCCCGGGCCTGCGTACTTCACTTAGACGCGCTGATGGGTGCGAAGGGATATGTCCGTTTGCGCCAATTGTAGTGGTGTCTTTGTCCAGCATAAAGAAAGGTTGACAGTTCTCTCAGGTAAAAAAATCTGGCGAAAAACGCATCCTACACCATGTTCAAGTGGAATACGTAGCCACGCCCACACCATCGGCCAGATATGGAGTGAACGCAGCTGGACTTTTACAGGTTGTTGTACGAGTCAGACCCCACATTCGAGCAACAACAATGATACGAAATCAATTAGGGCTAACCTTGGAGACTTACGGCTTATTACTAGTAAGGCTCAGCAAGACTCTTGGATTTTTTGCTTGGAATTCTGCATAAAACTTGGCCTTGCTAATGTGATAATGTAATTTAGGATCATGCTATCGGGCCTAAAGTCACCATTCATGCTCAAGAGCTCGTTGAAAATATGTATTGACGCACGTCTCTCTGTGGACAACAGGACCACAAAAAAACTGGTGCTAGTGCTCTAGCTTGTGCAGCTTTGAGGTAAAAGCTCACACTTGGTTCTCACTCGCCTTGGAG